TTACCATCAATAACCATATTCATATAAGTAAGGTCATTTTGCGCTTCGAATGTGATTTCTCCGTTGTATTTCGCGAGGACACACTTTATTTCTTCCCTAACTTTGGTCTGAATTTCGGGATTGCGCGCCAATTCGTAGGCCATAAACATTCCCGTTATCGCTGATGTATCGTAGCCAGCGAACATGTACAACATCGCGTTTGCCGCGACGTCAGTAAACGTAAACTTAAATCCCTTATTTCCACTTGCTGTAATATCAATTATTTATTACTATCTCGCTCCAAGTCAACCGAGATATAGTCTCAAATAACGATTGTCTAGTAAAAAAGTTATAACTATATTATGCGTGACTAGGCTTGATTTTTACTACAATTAAATTATACATATTAATCTTGAATCACTGTCTAATGAAGAAACCCGTTGCGTACTTTTTAAAAGATCAAAGCACAGAGACGGCGACAAGAAGCCGTTTTATAATAAAGCCTTATTTCTCAAAATATCGGTTGTATTCGGAATTCAAAACTATTTGTAAAAATGTATATGGATATTTTTTTCAGCTGATTATTTTAAAAATTGTTCATATCCAGTAGTATCAAGTAAAAAATTAACTACAAACCTTTTTCGCTCTTTTGTAAATCAATAAGCGCCTGTATGAAATCATTGCGGCTGTACTTATTATTCTCCCGATAATTAACTGTATCTCTTACAAGATCGTAAAAGAACTGATTGATTTCTGGATTGGTTCTGTTAAGCTGTAGTTTTTCCAAAATGCCAGGTGTAAAATAGGATATAGCTCGTGTTAGAGTCCTAAAATATATATATTAAATAATATATAATATTAACGGTGTAAAATATTGACCAAGAAAAATAGACTACATAATTCTTTCGCAAAATGATTTTACTATCCAGACTATTTATTGATTTAAGGTATAGGAATAATATTTTTTGTTCTTACCAATAAACTGAGCTCGGCTGAAAATATTCATGTCCAAATTTAAAAAACTCAGTTTCCTTTTTGAATCCATCGTTTTCAATTCCAAAACCGATACTGCCGATGATTTCCATAGCGTACTTTGCATAAAATTCGGAAAAATTTAATGATAATCCTTTTTCATATATCACATCACTGTACTCCAATGCCTCTCCTGCTACTTTGTTGATTAATGGGAAAAACGTCTTCAATTTGCCTGTCGTAAACATCGGTGACAGCTTTGCTCGCAGCGATTTCCACTGTGATCCATACAGATTAAACAAATGTCCTCCTAGGGGATCCCCATCGTTTGGCTTAGGAGACATTCCATGTGACAGAAAACTATCAAAGTCTTTCACAAGAATTTGCTTCACCAAATCAGGATCGTTGATACTGAGAACTGGCACATTAAACGAATAAAGGCCCACATACGGCAACTTTTTATATTCAAAATAGGCGTCACAAAACGGTTGAAAGAACTGTTTCTTTCTTCTGATAACTCCATTGAAATTTCCGAAAGGAAAAGAGGGCTTTGGCCCGGTCACCCCTTTTCTCGTCCAGTACGTATACTTATATTTGAACCACACATAAATTAAAAGAAAACCAACGAATCCCACTACAAATAATTCGTGAATTAATGAAAACGCGATCTGTAAAACAGCCATTTTGGTATGAGCACTCGCGTTTTATAGTGGAATTACAACAGAAATGTTGTTTTAAATCCAAACGCCAAGGTTTCGCATCTACTGCGCCCACTGCAAGCCAAAAGTTATTATACATTCGCATAATTTGCAACATTTATATATAGTTTATTTTATGCTACGGTGATGATTGGAGTTCTGGCTGATAAATTTATAAAAACCTCGAAAAATCTTTAATAACTCGTAAAAAACAGACAATGGTTATCGTAAAAGCTTTTTTTGATTATCATTTTTAATTGCTATTATTTCCGTTCCCTTCGTAAATTTTAATATAATATTATTAACAGAATTTTTTTAAAGATATTTAATTTAATTAATTTAATTAAAGTTAATAATAATTGTTTATTTAAGAGTAATTCATTCGATATGCCAAAAAACAAATAAAATAATATATATAAAATCTTAATCTCCTTATTCTAACATAGTAAATAAAATATTTTATCTCTCACGTTTATAAGACAGAACATTCTTTCTGATTATTAAAAGACTCCTAGAATTAAAAGGTACCTACCTAACATGACTCACGTATAAAAGTATTACACATAACAAAAGCAACACTTGGACATTGACTTCAAACAATTCTTTTTTCCACAGTGAACAGTAACAGTTGTGTAACAGTTGTTACGCAAATATTTTATTTTTTTTATTTTTTTTAACAATAAAAATATACAATCTGATAACATAAATTATTAAGGAGGCAACGAGCGGATTAACAAAAATAAAATTACAAGAAAAAGGAAGACAATTACAAAACTAGCATGTAAAATAAAATTAATCTTAAGAATCATTAATCTTGGTATTTAATTTAATTAATATAATATTACTCAAATATTTTTATTACTGGTTAAATTATAAGAAAAAGTTAAATCAACCTTCTATCAAAGATCTTCTATAAATTGCATTATGCAATTTTCGTATAACGTTAATAACATAAACATTAACCGCGTTTAAAATGCACACAATTGTATTAAATCATATTACATATTTCTTATTCCTACTGATTGGTATTGTTTTTAAAGGAAATAAATATTTTAAACATATCATCAGGCTATTTTTGGAAGTCGGTTCAGAGTCTATAATTGTCATAAGAATATTATAAAAAAAATCAGTGGCGCTACAACCTCTTTAAGTCTTGGCCTCAGATTTCTGAATCTGTTTCATGATCATTTTTAAATCTAATAGGTAAGTAGGTGATCAGCCTGACACACGCCGTCCACTTTTTGGGGTCTAAGACATGTCGGTTTCCTTCACCGTTCGAGCAAATGTTAAATGCGCACATAGAAAAGTAGTCCATTGGTGCACAGCCGGGGATCGAACCTACGACATCAGGTATAAGAGTCGCACGCTGAAGTCACTAGGCCGACACTGCTCTAAGAATCTAAGTAAGAACTGCTCTAACTAAGAATCATATACTTCCAAATTATATAGATAGGTTGATGATTGTAATCATTACATCTTACACATCTCCATGGGATACTATTCGCTGAAAATCCAAATCATTTGACACTTTGTTCAACCAGATTCGTCCAGTTATGTTTGGCCATATTATAAAAAAAATACATGTCGAATTACCGTTAAAAAATAAATCTTAAAATTTAAGAAAGTTTGTTTATAATAATATATTTACAAAATAAATAATGATTGTATAATAAACAAAAAGGAACAGTTTGGTTCACAGCCTTGTATCTCTTCAGAATCTAGCCAATTTTGTTAACAAACATTTATTTATAGTCCTGGGAAATTCTTATTATAGTCCTTATAAACAATGTTGTATTAATTCGTAACACCAACCAGGCAATAATTGAATCAAGCTATTATATGATTCGTTATTACTGATAGGAATATTTGAGATTTAATATTCATATAGGGATGAATACAAAAAAACGGATAAACACTGAAGGAACTTAATAATACACTATAAGGAGTAAAAAAAAGAGAAAAAGACAAAATATGTACTCGAATGGTATAAAGAAAAATCAAAAGGAAGAGGGAATTTCAAGTTAAAATATGGGCCGATGGCCTGACGAAGAGATGGACCACGAATGAACAGCTAAACCGCCTTCAAGGTGGCAAGGTAGTAAGTCCCACGTCAACACTCTTGTAAAACCGTAGCATGCCGTAAGCAGAGGTGTTTTCTAGTCTGGGCGGAAGCGGCGGTGACACGTGATAAAAACCCCTCTAGGTCCTTCAAAAGAGCCATTGCTACGGACTATTGAAAGAATTGTTGAGAGACTAGCTCGCTCAATTGCCAACGCTATCCAAGAAAATTTCTTCAAGTCTTCACTTCCATCACTTCTAGCATTTTAACGTTATAGCCAACACTTTTAAGGAGAAACCCCTTTGGTTGCCAGCCAACCAGTTGGCTCTCTTTTTGGTTCCATTTCGACTCTTGATGACCAGGGGAATATACCGTCATCGCTATACTTGAATGCCGGAATTTGTATTCCGGCTCCGTGCTGTCCGCAAATCTTTTGAATATCTGGGGAGAAAAGCCTGGATAGTCAACAGTCAAACAGGCCTGAAGGTGTTCCTCTAATTATGCTGCGCACGTGTGCTCCAGAGCTGGCTGCGGCTATTACGCGTCCTTTTAGGCTTTCTTTGTCCCAAACGCTAAAAATTTGCTACCCATCTCCCCCCTTGCCTCCTGTCCCATAAAAAAAACCCGACGCGCACAATCAGGATCCACGACTGCTGGTTATTTACTCGAGTTCCTATTTGGTTGACAGGAAACCAATGCCTATACTGAAGTCCTACAGAATTATGGGACACCATGCTGCGAGGGGCATGAGTAATGAAAGGTAATGCTATCACTATGTGCTAGATAATAAAGCAATTAAGTGAAAGTATTAAACTTATCTAATATTGAAATAAAACATCATCTTAAACCTAAAGTTTATTTACTTCTCACTCGTTTAAAAATTAACAAAACTGAGCAGCAAGTAATTACTGGCTTAGAAATTACCACAGATAATTTTTTTATGAATATTAAAAAGATATATTGTTTTTATCAAATATTATAATATGATATAACATTGAAAAACGATAATATCTATAAATTCTGATGTTTGAATATCTCTATTCTAGTCATCGTTAAAGCAAATTCTACAACAAAAATACCATTGTTACTTTTTACGAGGGTAAGGTAATATATATTCGACTTAGAGAAATCACAACTGATAGGTATGTTAACATACAATCCGTCAGTCAGCGCATGGGTTAATATCGCGAGACCACTGGTGCTTTATTATTCTAAAGTTTATTAAATGCAAAACAAATATAACAGTCCAATGTAATTAAATTAGTTTTATATAAATACTATGCTTTGGCTATTTAACAGTTTTCTAATTTTCTTAACTTAATCCAAATATCTCCTTCGGCTGCTGTAGACATGGAAGCTACTTTAACTTCTATAGGAGTTATAGTTCTTTTGTCCAAACATAATTCATAGTTAGTCAATAGCTTTATTAGACCAACCTTAGATTGAATGTACCCTTGGCGTAATCCTGTAAGAAAATTTATGTTATACGTTTTTCGTTAATTTAATTTTGCATCTACGTATTTACTAAGAAAAAAAAGAAGAGAGTAAAAAAAAATTTACTAGTTTTTTTTTTTCAATAAATTGCCACTCGTTATTTTGGCGCGCAATTGTCAATATTCTTTGGCAAATTCAAGTTATCTGTGACCGCGTCCGCTTCGTGCGTTCTGTTCATAGACATTTTTTATTAGGTTCAAACACAACTGAAGAGATTAAAATTATAGTGGATGTAACTTGATGTAACTTGATATTACTTGGTATGAAAAACGTGAGACTGCTCGATTTTTCGCAACACACTATTTTTGCATACAAATATTTTTGAAGTGAAAAATTTAGTGTAACATTTTTTCGTTACACGTCACATTTTTCGGTTACGCGCCATGTTGCTTTTTGAAGTCAAACTTCTTTATCGGCGTTGGAATGAAACTTCTTTATCGACGTATGGGAGAAATTTTGTAGCAAATCGTCACGTTTTTCAATGATAGTAATAATTCTATTACAATTAATGAAATTCTATAATAATCTTCGTAGTAATAAGGTAAAATGAAATATTTGTATTCATGTCTATGATAATAAAAGCCTTTTGTTAAACTTTATCTAATTTAACGAATTTCTGTAAAGTTGCTGATCATTTTTCGAAAAATAGGATCAAAAAGAAGTTTCACTTCTTACGTGTGTACACCTAGTACACGCACAATTTATTATTTTACTATACGAACGTTAGAGTAAAAGCGTTAATTTTTATCATAATTACTTTACGTCTTTCTAGGTCACTACGAGGTATTTACGTAAAGCCAGCGATATAACTTCTATATATTTGAGAGGTCACAAGGTCACGAGTTGAGTTATTATGATAGGGTCAGCCGGTTTTTTCATATAGTTTATATTGCACTGCACTATTAAATATCTGTCTTTGATTCAACATCTATAACATAGATTTTTTTTTAATGCAAGTAATCCTTATGTGCCTTATATACGTTGTTATATATTAGATTACGCACAAGAGTCAACTTTAAATATTACTAAAGTCATAATCTCTAAAGGTGATATTTAGAAAAAGCTTAGTCTTTTGCGCTAAGTGCGACTCCCGTATGTCAAAAACGTATTGGCCATACAAAAGTCATAGAGACTCCTGTATTCCCGATAAGTCAATTTTTTTAATCTTACTGTTAGACGAATATTTAGACATGCCGGCGTCCTTTAATCTATTAGTTTAAGCAACGATGAAGCGTTAACTGCGCACATTTTGAGAGAAGTTAGTGTACGGTATTAAGCTGATAATAGCATATATAGAATAGTGATCTACTGAGCAGTGCTAGAGTAATGGTTAACCGTGCGAATCTTAAACATAAAGTATTCAAGTTCGGGCTGTGTACGCTGAAGGTAAACGTCGTACGAAATCGTATTAGTAATATTTTAGACCTTTAAGTGGACTACGTGAGGTCAGAAGTGAAGGCTACTAATGACAGAGGTAACTACCTACTTGCTACAAATAAAGCAGTAGATATAAGACCAGGTAGGTTACCTGATCTATATTACTATACTTATTACAATACAAACTCTATATAAACGGGATATTATATATTAAAGTCTAGTTACCTAGGCATTTCCGAGGGCCTTCTCCAAACGGCATCCAATGACACGGATGCATTTTAGCTTTTCTTTCAGGAGTAAATCGCTCTGGGTTAAATCTCTCCGGATCCTCAAAAATATCTGGGTCCATATGTATCGCCTGTATTGGTATGAATACTAGAGTCCCATTTTCTATGACTAAATCACTGTCGGGCATTTTGAAGTCTTTGTTGCACCTTCGGAACAATGCACGTAGTGGCGGATACTTTCGCAATGTTTCTGAAAATAAGAACAAATTAATGTTAATTGTATAGAGAGTACGTTCTTCTGATTTATCTAATCCTGATATTTTAAATAACCGATGTCTTTGAGGGGTAATCATTTCTAATGAGATTCAAAACAAAATCCTGGTTAATATTTATTATTTTTATTTATTTATTAGTAACTTTCTCTCTCTATGTATCAGTTATGTAGCTAAAACTATATTTAATTACGATTTTCCGCAACGTCTCAGAAGTATTGTTATATCATAAATTGTAAATAGATCAGTGTACAGTCGAGTCAATAGCAATATTAAAATTTACTTACCATCAATAACCATATTCATATAAGTAAGGTCATTTTGCGCTTCGAATGTGATTTCTCCGTTGTATTTCGCGAGGACACACTTTATTTCTTCCCTAACTTTGGTCTGAATTTCGGGATTGCGCGCCAATTCGTAGGCCATAAACATTCCCGTTGTCGCTGATGTATCGTAGCCAGCGAACATGTACAACATCGCGTTTGCCGCGACGTCAGTAAACGTAAACTTAAATCCCTTATTTCCACTTGCTGTAATATCAATTATTTATTACTATCTCGCTCCAAGTCAACCGAGATATAGTCTCAAATAACGATTGTCTAGTAAAAAAGTTATAACTATATTATGCGTGAATAGGCTTGATTTTTACTACAATTAAATTATATATATTAATCTTGAATCACTGTCTAATGAAGAAACCCGTTGCGTACTTTTTAAAAGATCAAAGCACAGAGACGGCGACAAGAAGCCGTTTTATAATAAAGCCTTATTTCTCAAAATATCGGTTGTATTCGGAATTCAAAACTATTTGTAAAAATGTATATGGATATTTTTTTCAGCTGATTATTTTATAAATTGTTCATATCTTTCTTCAAGTAAAAAATTAACTACAAACCTTTTTCGCTCTTTTGTAAATCAATAAGCGCCTGTATGAAATCGTTGCGGCTGTACTTATTATTCTCCCGATAATTAACTGTATCTCTTACAAGATCGTAAAAGAACTGATTGATTTCTGGATTGGTTCTGTTAAGCTGTAGTTTTTCCAAAATGCCAGGTGTAAAATAGGATATAGCTCGTGTTAGAGTCCTAAAATATATATGTTAAATAATATATAATATTAACGGTGTAAAATATTGACCAAGAAAAAAAGGCTACATAATTCTTTCGCAAAATTATTTTACTATCCAGACTATTTATTGATTTAAGGTATAGGAATAATATTTTTTGTACTTACCAATAAACTGAGCTCGGCTGAAAATATTCATGTCCAAATTTAAAAAACTCAGTTTCCTTTTTGAATCCATCGTTTTCAATTCCAAAACCGATACTGCCGATGATTTCCATAGCGTACTTTGCATAAAATTCGGAAAAATTTAATGATAATCCTTTTTCATATATCACATCACTGTACTCCAATGCCTCTCCTGCTACTTTGTTGATTAATGGGAAAAACGTCTTCAATTTGCCTGTCGTAAACATCGGTGACAGCTTTGCTCGCAGCGCTTTCCACTGTGATCCATACAGATTAAACAAATGTCCTCCTAGGGGATCCCCATCGTTTGGCTTAGGAGACATTCCATGTGACAGAAAACTATCAAAGTCTTTCACAAGAATTTGCTTCACCAAATCAGGATCGTTGATACTGAGAACTGGCACATTAAACGAATAAAGGCCCACATACGGCAACTTTTTATATTCAAAATAGGCGTCACAAAACGGTTGAAAGAACTGTTTCTTTCTTCTGATAACTCCATTGAAATTTCCGAAAGGAAAAGAGGGCTTTGGCCCGGTCACCCCTTTTCTCGTCCAGTACGTATACCTATATTTGAACCACACATAAATTAAAAGAAAACCAACGAATCCCACTACAAATAATTCGTGAATTAATGAAAACGCGATCTGTAAAACAGCCATTTTGGTATGAGCACTCGCGTTTTATAGTGGAATTACAACAGAAATGTTGTTTTAAATCCAAACGCCAAGGTTTCGCATCTACTGCGCCCACTGCAAGCCAAAAGTTATTATACATTCGCATAATTTGCAACATTTATATATAGTTTATTGTGATGACGGATATGCTACGGTGATGATTGGAGTTCTGGCTGATAAATTTATAAAAACCTCGAAAAACCTTTAATAACTCGTAAAAACTGACGATGGTTATCGTAAAAGCTTTTTTTGATTATCATTTTTAATTGTTATTATTTCCGTTCCCTTCGCAAATTTTAATATAATATTATTAACAGAAATTTTTTAAAGATATTTTGTTAATAATAATTGTTTATTTAAGAGTAATTCATTCGATATGCCAAAAAACAAATAAAATAATATATATAAAATCTTAATCTCCTTATTCTAACATAGTTAATAAAATATTTTATCTCTCACGTTTATAAGACAGAACATTCTTTCTGATTATTAATAGACTCCTAGAATTAAAAGGTACCTAACATGACTCACGTATAAAAGTATTACACATAATAAAAGCAACACTTGGACATTGACTTCAAACAATTCTTTTTTCCACAGTGAACAGTAACAGTTGTTACGCAAATATTTTTATTTTTTTTAACAATAAAAATATACAATCTGATAACATAAATTATTAAGGAGGCAACGAGCGGATTAACAAATATAAAATTACAAGTAAAATGAAGATAATTACAAAACTATCATCTAAAATAAAATTAATCTTAAGAATCATGAATCTTGGTATTTAATTTAATTAATTTAATATTACTCAAATATTTTTATTACTGGTTAAATTATAAGAAAAAGTTAAATCAACCTTCTATCAAAGATCTTCTATAAATTGCATTATGCAATTTTCTTTTAAATTTCTATTTGATTTTTTTTAGAAACTTATGCTTGCGTTGATTGTCGCACATTTTGGATGTAAGATTTTGTGAAATAATTGTTAGATTTAGGACTGTGTGTGATGTCGTGGGCTTAATAACTAAATAAACATTAACCGCGTTCAAAATGCACACAATTGTATTAAATCATATTATTTCTTATTCCTACTGATTGGTATTGTTTTTAAAGGAAATAAATATATTAAACATATCAGGCTATTTTTGGAAGTCGGTTCAGAGTCTATAATTGTCATAAGAATATTATAAAAAAAATCAGTGGCGCTACAACCTCTTTAAGTCTTGGCCTCAGATTTCTGAATGTGTTTCATGATCATTTTTAAATCTAATAGGTAAGTAGGTGATCAGCCTGACACACGCCGTCGACTTTTTGGGTCTAAGACATGTCGGTTTCCTTCACCGTTCGAGCAAATGTAAAATGCGCACATAGAAAAGTAGTCCATTGGTGCACAGCCGGGGATCGAACCTACGACCTCAGGTATAAGAGTCGCACGCTGAAGTCACTAGGCCGACACTGCTCTAAGAATCTAAGTAAGAACTGCTCTAACTAAGAATCATATATAGTGATGATTGTAATCATTACATCTTACACATCTCCATGGGATACTATTCGCTGCAAATCCAAATCATTTGACACTTTGTTCAACCAGATTGGTCCAGTTATGTTTGGCCATATTATTAAAAAAACATGTCGAATTACCGTTAAAAAATAAATCTTAAAATTTAAGAAAGTTTGTTTATAGTTAAAAAAAATGTAAAAAATAATTTTAATCATTAACAAAATAAATAATGATTGTATAATAAACAAAAAGGAACAGTTTGTGTTGGCGACTCATAGATTTAAATAGAATTAAGTATGAGCTATATGTTAAATATGAATATTGTTTGCAGCTCGTAAGTGGTAATTAAGTATGAATAAGTTAGATGAGAATATGTAAATAATTTAAGGGAAATAAATAAATAAAATGCTTCGCCGAATAAAAGGGTCGCGTAGCTCTCGTCGCGGTATACGCGCGCAGATGTCTGAAAGCGCAGCTCTCGTCGCGGTATACTGTTGGGGTACTTAAGCTCGGCGAGATTTACGCAAAATCCTCTTTTCCTCCGCAACGAACTGGGACCCAAGAATAATCGGCGAAGCAAGAAACAAGAACAAGGCGAAGTTTCATTTCAAGACAACATCCTACAATTACGCACTAGCAGGGGTGCGTGGGTCGAGGCGGTGCCAGCGATACGTCGAACCGTCTTGACAAAACGTACGTAGTCAAACCCCACCGGTATTCAAAGCCGCGCCGAGGTTACTTTGGTTACTGCACGGGTGTTCTCAAACGAACATCTAAACGTCTAATCCCGTGCAGGCCCGAGTCTCTGAGGCGACGTCGGGATTGGCTACAATAGTAGTACGTACGAAGTCAAACCCCACCGGTATTCAAAGCCGCGCCGAGGTTACTTTGGTTACTGCACGGGTGTTCTCAAACGAACAACTAAACGTCTAATCCCGTGCAGGCCCGAGTCTCTGAGGCGACGTCGGGATTGGCTAGAACAGTAGTACGTACGAAGTCAAACCCCACCGGTATTCAAAGCCGCACCGAGGTACTTTGGTTACTGCACGGGTGTTCTCAAACGAACATCTAAACGTATAATCCTGTGCAGGCCTGAGTCTCTGAGGTGTCGTGGGGGTTGGCATCAACAGTGGTCCTTCGAGCGCCGGATCCTGCAACGGTTGTCAACAAGAAGTGAATACTGCGACAAGAAAATGCCAGTCACAAGGTCACAGAACGGGATGCAGCGAGGGGAATCGACGACGACTGTTACCTCCGCCACTACGTCCGAAGTCCGGACCACAGGCGAAGAGATAACGATAGAGCAGTCCACGTCGACGAGTGCAGCCAGCCAGCCAGATCAAGCATTGACTCTGGCACCAGCGGGTTCCACCCGGCGGGCCGCATCGAGAGCCGTATCCAGAGCCAGCTCAAGAAGACAAGCCGAGGCCAGAGAAGAGCTGGCTCGCTGCGAGCTGCGGGAAGCGCAGGCAGCAGCACGACTGGCCAGATTACGATTAGAAGCAGAAACGGAAGAGGAAGACTCCTTTATAGAAGACGTCAACGATAACCATGAAGAAAAGGTGGCAAACTGGATGCGCTCATCGGCACAAACGCCAGAAGAAATAGAAACAAAGAGCGACATTCGAGCAATAGCTGACGCAATAAAGGAAGCCATGACGACACATGTAGCGCCGCAACCGAAGTACATTCAAGAGCTGCCGATATTTGAAGGCGACAGCTCCGAATGGACGGCGTTCCGAGTCGTATATGAAGACACATCTCCGATGTTCTCTGGCATTCAGAATATGGCGCGGCTACGTAAAGCGATTAAAGGCACAGCGAGAGAAAGCATTAAGAGCCTCTTGTACTCAGAGGCGATGCCAGAAGAAGTTATTAACGCTTTACGCCGAAGATTTGGTAGACCTGACGCGCTGGTGCTAGCTGAACTGGAGAAATTAAAGGCGCTTCCCAGAACGACGGAAAATCCCAGGGACATATGCGTCTTCGCTAGCCAAATAAATAACAGCGTGGCCGCCATAAAGGGATTGAAGAGACCGCAATACCTCTACTCACCTGAAATCGTGAAACTTATAATAGAGAAGATGCCTCCAATTCTCAGATTCAGATGGTACGATTTCACGGCTGCGAGGGAAGAGGAATCGTTCTCCGATATTCAAACGATAAGCAACTTCCTCAATTTAGAAGCGGACAAATGCGGCGCATTCGCGGTACTCGAAGACAGCAAAAGCGTACGACCAAGCGCAGCGATAAGAAGGCCAGTGAAGCAAGCTACGTATAATATCGCTGAAAGGAGTAGACCTGAAGAAATCAAGTGCCCAGACTGTGAAGGTACACATAAACTGAAAGACTGCCAAAGATTCCTAAAGGCGGCAGTCAACGAGAGATGGGAAACAGTTAAAAGGCTTAAGGTCTGCTTCAAGTGCCTCGCTGGGAAGCACCGGAAAGAAACATGCCGAAGACCACCGTGCAAGTTGTGTCGAAGATGGCACCATAGCCTACTACATGTGACGTCGGAGAGCGAACAATGTCACGAAGAGGCAGCGCCCGAGACAGCAACGGTCAATACAATAAGCACACCGAAAGCTATTCTTAAGATGCTCAAGGTGGAGATATACGGACCGGCTGGGAGCAAACAAGTACTGGCGCTGCTAGATGAAGGCTCAACGGTGACACTGCTCGACGAAAACGTGGCTTCGAGCATCGGCATCAAGGGACCTCGCGAAGCCCTGAATATAGAAACTATCGGCGGAGGGCAAATGAAAAATCACGACTCCATGATTTTAGATATCGAACTAAAAGGGATCAAGGAAAGCGAGAAGAGCACACTTAAGCGGGCAAGAACTATCAAGGAGCTCAAATTAACCCCTCAATTCGTAGATAAAAGCCGACTAAAGAAGTGTCATCACTTGCGGGGCTTACTACAAGACGTGTGCTACGAAGCTGAGGCGCCGAAGCTGCTCATTGGCCAAGACAATTGGGAGTACATTGTCTCGTTACAAATACGACGTGGAAAGCCAGGGCAGCCGGTAGCGTCACGAACAAAGTTAGGATGGGTTCTCCACGGCTCCGACAGCAGCGGCGTGTCTCCAATCAATTATGTGAACACATGTGCACACGCAAACGTCGTCGAAGACAAAATAGATCAGCTGGTGAGGGAACACTTCACTATTGAGTCTTTGGGGGTTCAGCCGAAGAAGCCTTCAACGGATATCGAACAGCGAGCATTAGACATATTGGAAAGAACCAGCCGACAGTTGGAAGATGGCAGATACGAGGTCGGACTGTTGTGGAAAAAGGAAGATGTATGTCTTCCAAATAATTACGCAGCAGCTTTCAACAGATTTCAAGGCATAGAACACAAGCTGCGTAAGGACGCTAAATTAAAATATGAGTATAGCGCGCAGATAGACAATCTGTTGAAAAGCAACTACGCTGAAGAAGCACCAGCCGACTGCACATCGAACAAAAAATGGTACCT